TCCATCAGCGACGAGCTCCTGAACTTCTTCCTGGAAGAATCCTCCACTACCGGCGCTGGTGGTGACGAACAGCACCGCCAGCGGCTGCGCTCGGAGGCCCGTCGTCGCGTCGGCTGGGACCCCTACAATGAAAGCCCCGTCAAACACCGCGGCGAGGATTACCAGTACGGCTGGGAGCCCGATAGTGACCCCCACCAGTATGGCGGCGATCCTTACTCGCCTACTAGGCAATCGCAGGGCTTCCATATACGCTCCAGGGAAAGCACACCGGAAACCCCGATGCGCAAAAGCTCGCCGAATGTCCGTCCCAGTAGTCAGCGTGGTATGAGGCCTGCGTATGCTGAGTCGCCTCTTTCGAAAAAGATGGGTAGGCCTCTGAATGCTAGAGATCTAGGGCCTGAACGCGACAGATTGAATAGGAAATGAATGGGAAATTCGTGGACTATGGTGCCTTAGACATACATGTATTATGATCATGATTATGAGATAGCGGGTGCATTTTCCTCCTACCTTGCGAACGAATCCTCTGCTGGAAATTGTTTTGGCGAATGCCATCATCCATAGCGGCTGTTGGATGTCAGTTGATATCTACCTAGGGGCTATAGATAGTCAGATCCCCGTGGTGAGATACTGTTCAAATAGAAGGAATGACGTGTATTCAGATATCAACCGCATAGACAGATAACATCGCTCGCTGAAAGCAAGTTGCAGAAAACAAAGCTGGGAATAAAAGGAGGGGAAAAGCCCGAAACGCCAAAAATAAAAGACCCAACATTCCTAAACTCCAACCAAAGCAGATTTCTTAGGGAGCCGTGTTTAAGCTGGCGCACGCAGTAGCAAGACCACGCTCTCAGGGGGTATATGGTATAAACAGGTGCCCTCGGAACCAACTTAGATCATCTTGCTGATGGTCCTTGAAAAGAAAAAGGGAGTTACTCCCAATCTTCGTCGCTCTCATCCGCCTTCGCAGCGGAGGGACTCTTTTCCTTAGGACTACCGGGTGTACGGCTGGCAGCGCCACTCACAACATCGTAGCTGGATTCGCTGTCGGCTTGAGATTGCTGGTCGTTAGACCGGCGAGGCTCGGCTTTCTGGATTTCTTTGGTGGGAGCGAGAGTCTGGGCACCGGAGCGGACATGTGGAGTAGACGGAGACTGAGACTCAGAGTCAGAGTCGTCGTCCCAGCCGACCTCTTCTTCGTCTTCGGCATTGGCACCTGTAAAGTAGAAGTGGTTAAAATTGGAAAACAACAATCACCGTAATGATGGACTCAATATACCCTTCAAAAGCTCCTTGCGCTTCTTCTCCTCGGTCTCCACGACGAGACGCAAGAAGTAGTAACGAGTCCAGAAGTCCACATATTCCACCTGCTCCGGCACTAGCTTCTCCATAGCCGAACGGAGCTCGGGGTATTTCTCTAGATCGGCGGCGATCTCATCCGTCTTGATTTCGACATTGAACTCCTTCTTGAACGAAGGCCACTCGTCACTGACCGGGTCCTTGCTGAAGCTTTCCAGGTTTGAATGGATAACGTGCAGCTGTGCCTCGAACCGTGTAGCATGAATGACCCGCTTTCCCTCAGCATCCTTGCTCTCGAAAAGAAGCTTGCCGGACTCATCGGTATCGGGCGGCACAATGCTAACCGCCTCACGCAGCTTCTGGCCGATATTCATTCCGAATCGCAGAATCGCTTCGTCGGCTGCTTCCTCTGCCTTCTCAATCTCCTTCAATCGCCGAGCGGCTTCCGCCTTCAACCGAGTAATAAAGCTTTCTCCACTGGCGCCAGCGCCTTCGACTTCTTTCTTGTCGCCAGATTTTACTTCCCCTGCGGCAGCTGTGGGTGTGGTGGTCTCGTCACTTTGTCCCTCGCCACTGCCCGTCAAAGCAGCTGTGCTGAGAGACAGCCCCTTTGTCCGGTCGGCGAGTGTTTCCCTGAGACCTGAAAATCCTTTCACAGCTTCCTCGCTGGCAGCTGCGTACTCCTGGCGAGCACCCTCGTAGTATGTTTCTCCCTGTTTGCGTACATTGTTCCATAGTCCTCCAATTCGGGAGCCCCATGGACTGGCGGAGAAGGCGCGGAATGTCTCTTGTAGCTCATCGTTGAGATTAGCGTTGGACTCCTGAGGCTTAGACTCGGAGGGGGCTCCCTCTTCGTTCGAAAATGCCTCTTCCTGGATGTGATCGTAGGCGATATCCATGATTAGGAAGTTGCAAGAGGGAAAAGAGGGTCAAAGACTTTGGAACCACAAGGTTGCTGTCTCTCCGCGTTCGTCCATCACCCGACCGCCCCGCTTGCGACGATCCCCAAAACTACATCGTACACCGCACAGTGCACACCGCACAGCGTATAAACACATTGGTCAGCGGCTTCAAGGTAAAGATTATAGTGATCATATTGAATAATATTCTAAGTCTTCATAAATCATAATCCATTGAATAATGGTCTCGGAAACAATGTCATCCTTCAGGTAAGCTATAAGGCTCTCCTACACTATCCTGACTCCCCATCCAAAAGTTCGGGAGTGGAATGCTCTCCATGACGCTTGATGTGAGCAGCTGGCTTCGTGAGAGGACTCGGCCCTGCCATTGAGGATCTCGGTCCACTGCCTGTGAGGACTCGACTTGGACCACTGAGCCAGGAACACGAGGTCGTTGGAACGAACTATCACCTGAATCGATTCCACGTTCTTGTTCTCGGATAGGCGATGACTCGGGGACCATTTCAGTAGACTCTTTGTCGCCTTCCTGGCTCTGTGTCTGCGAGAGTGGCCCCGTCGCCTGTTTGCGAAGAGAAGGCCTCCATGCCTCCAAGTTTGTGTACTGGGTACTGCCTCCGTGAGGGAACAGCTCAGCCATCTTCTGTGTATTCAGCATTGGGATTGGCTCGTGCGGGAATTGTGTAGCTGCGTGCATTCTTCGATAACAAATTGAGGCATCAGACATTGGACCTTCGGATGGAGGATCATTGGGTTCAGGGCTCGATTGCACAACTGGTAGAGGAAGTTCTTGAGAATCATCCTTGGATGACTCCGCGCTGTGTTCAGTCCCCCGTAAGCCGTCTTGTGGACCAATTGGTCGGTTTGCTTTCTTTGGAGATGGTGTCACGGAACTTCCATTAAGGTTGTCCTCAAAGTCTCCGTATTCTGAGTCCGCGTCCGTTTCATAGATGACTGTCCTCTCCCTTTTGGTGGGTTCATTTCTCGAGTTCCCATTTTCTTCGGTGGGAAATTCCTGGGAAGTCGACTCCGTTGGAGGTGCAGATGAAGGAAATTCCTCGGTAGTTGTCAGATCGGGGTGAATCAAATTGTTATAGATCCCTGGAGAATCGAATGTTGTTGGTCGTGGTAAAGATTCACCTTCAGGGCCTTGTGAATCCCCGACCACTCGCCGAGCCTCCGTGGTTTCTTCTTTGACAGGATACGTAGAATTATTCGTGGGGTTCAGCGGGTTATGTTTTGAAGGAGAGCGAGTAGCGCCGCGAAATTGAGATGAGGTTATAATAGCGAGTCCGGGGCTTTCAGGCGTCTGTGAAGAAGGTATCTCGCGTGCGCGAAGCTTCCGTGGTGTCACGGGAGCTGCAGATACCCGCTCCCCCTCACCTTCGCTTCCAGGATTTGACTGCTGTGCTTCGTTTTGCTGAGATATAGGTTCGCCCGTTGAGAGATCCAGCTCTTCTTCCAAAGCTCTGCGATTTCGTTTGGTGGAGGTCGGACGCTTCGTAGATTGTGGTTGATTCAATTTCGGCGTGTGCTCGGCTAGTTCATCTTTCATCCCCTTTTTCTGCGGTGTCGGCTGAATATATCCCATGTTCACATCGTCATCATCATCATCGATGGTAATGTAACGTCGTACAAAGTCCATCTGAGTTAAGGTCTTGTCCCGCTTCCCCGCTGACTTCTCCAGTGATTTTCGACCGCCCCTAGGACGAATACTCGCCCTTGGGGCCTCGCTCTTTCGTGGTCCATGACTTCGGTGTGTATCTCGACTAGCGAATCCAGAGCTCCTCCGCTTCTGCGGGCGTTCATCCGAATCGCGCTCTCGTTCGCTCATTCTGAATTTCGAGATACGGGCCGACCGAAGTGGTGGAGCAGGAAGATAGTCTGAATCCTTGTCGGACTCATCATCTACATTTGGCCGCTCAGTTGTGTCGTGTGTATCGTCACCACGTTTGTGTTCGTCGATGTAGCTAAGCTGGTCATCATTCGAAGGTGTGGACTGTGTCACAAAGTCAATTTGCGTGAGAGTAGACTGAACTCGTGGCAGCGATGTTCGCTTACGAATGCTTGCCGATGTCGATGACTGTGGTGGTCGGTTCCGTGCGGTCTTGGTTTTCGTGGCGGTTGTTGGAAGACCTTGTGGAATATGCCTTCTCGGAGTGTGGAACTGATTTCGAGGAGTCTCTGGCAGGTTTCTAGATTCAGGCGGTGGTTCTTTCATCGCAACAGCAATGGTTCAAGGCTAAACATCGGACTGGGAGCCTAAAGGTAAAAGATGACGTTAGGGGAGAGAGATGCCTAAGGCGGTTCGCGTCGACGCGTCGCTAATATCGACTTGGTTCGTGCATTATACGGAGTAGACCCCACCCCCTTGCATTTACAATGGAGTTAAGGACACAAACTAAAAGAACAATGCAATTATCCCAAATCTGGACTGTCTAATCCTCAAATTGGAAGATGAAAAAAGCAAAAAAAAAGCAAAAAAATGAAATCTCAGGTTTGGTTTTAGGAATAGCCGAACGCGGGGGTCGAACCCGCAGCCTTAAGATTAAGAGTCTTACGCTCTACCGATTGAGCTAGCCCGGCCGGGCTGTTGTATGGAATTGCGCTATAATGATACATAAGCGCGATTAAGATGTGATCAATACAAAACACAGGTGGTAGTGAAGGCGTTACCAAAAGCAATACAGCAGCTCTGAAGATTTGGTTTTATTTGAATGTTTTATTTCAATATTTAATTTTCAGCGTACATAGATAGCATACAGCAGGTCTAACTATCAAAAACTAGTCCTCATCAGACATCAGCCATTCGGGAATTGCATCCTCATCTTCAGGGTCCTCAGAAAGCAAGGATCCCTTCTCGATCTCGCTATCAGAATCATAATTGGGCACTGGTGACGGTGGCCGGGAGATAGTGACCACACTTGCGGATTTGGAGCCACCATTTGTGGATGAATCCACTGCGATAGGAACATTGTCAGATGATCCTGCGAGGACTCCGGGTACGGATGTCGGGTTTAAGCCGTGGTTTGGGACAACCACCAGTGAGTAGCGGGGGGTCTTCAATGCTTTTTTCCTGGCAATAATCTCAGGAATCGATGTCGGGTTTACGGCCAAAGGCGCAGGCTCGGGGGGTTCCACTGGGTTCGGAGCTGGGTCATGATCATCGGGCAGAAACCCGCCTCCAAGCGTATAATCCTCCTCGTGCAATGACGGTTCCATCTCTGTTTCCGTGTATTCTTCGGGGAAATTCTGGTCGTGTACCATTTTGCCCTTTCCCAGGACTTTCAGGGACGGGCTATTGGCTGGTTGGTCTGGTTCAGGAAAGAAACCACCACCAGCATCTTCAACATCCATTTCGTCTTCGATACCTTCGAGCTGTTGTTCTTCGTTATCGCTAGCATATTCCTTGACTCTTTCTGCGATCCTAAGTTTCATCAAAAAGAGCCGCCAGAATCGCAGAGCCTCCGCAGTTCTTGCCTCCAGTGCAGCATGCCGCCTCTCATCTTCCAGACCCCTCAAAACTTCCTCAAGCGCTTCTTGGTATTCGACGGCAATAACAATTCCCCCGAATACAGCCGTGCCTCGACGGCCTCTAAAGTCAAATCCAGTGACTGCGTCGGCATAGTCAATGCCAAGAATTCGAGCAGCTCGAACTGCCTCCGGCCGCTTGATGTGAACTCCGCCAAACGGAACCATACTGGGCACATAGACATCGAGGTTCCCATATGCGTTCTTCGGGATTCTCCCCTGGACTACTGGTGGTGGAACGTAGATTTCCGTCTGGAACTCGGCGTATAGTGTAGTCTCTTGAGACTCGTTTTCATCTTCATCGTCACTCAAGCCCCCGGCTTTATTTCGGATTACAGCAACACGCTTGAGAGGCTGCTCGCCAGCTCTAACGTCCCGCCCAAGGCGATACCATTTATCGGAGCTTCGCACAATATGCAGGTCAGCTCGACGATAAACGGGTTCTGATGTCTCACTCCGCGCTACGCTTTTTCCCAACCCCACGTGCCCAATGATGCGTTTGGGATGGATCACTTCATTGCGACGAACGTGTCGCTCGAGCGCATAGATGGGGTGGTCCTTGAAGTCCTGGATATTGCGTGGCATGGGCTCAGCTGCTGATTTGGATGTTAGTTCACTAATCTCTGCCGCATCCCGATCCTCGAAGAAGGGCTTTTCGTAGGCCTTTAGCGCTTTATTCCACCACTCCTCGCCGTTCCGTGTAGATTCCACGCGCAGTTTCCGCGTCTTTGCATTAAACGCTTTTACATAGCGACGAGTGACATCTCTTGCGGAAGCGTCGTCCTCGAAACCAACCACATAATTCATCAAATTCAATGAATCACTCGCAGGTGGTTCAAACTTCGAAGGTTTAGCAAGGGTTTTTGTTACGATGGGGTCAATTGAAACCCATTTCTGCGCAGCTTCGTTGAAAGCTTCCACCCAAAATACCGGAAATGGCGAGTCTCGCGATGTTGCAATCGGACCTATGGGTGTTAGTTGGACGTAGACTAGTAATCGCTGGAAGTGACATGCCTGAATGGAATTTTGGTTGGGGGGGACGCGAGGGTGTGAATCTAGGCTGTCCAATCCGTCGAGGCCTCGAAGCTGCAGGTGGTTTTTCACCCTTACTTCGTTCATCTGCTGAGGAGCCATGATCGTCGGAGGATATCACAATATATGGATGCTTTGGTTTAGACGGTGTCATGTCTTTCAAAGTGCCAGAAAATGGCAACGGTTGCAATGAGCAAACAAGTCTCGCCTCTACGGCTACAGACCGCAATAAGGCACAGAATAGCTGGGCCCCAAAGTCTCGGGAGCCTTCCATTGTCTTCGCTTGGGTTCGAAAATCCCCTTTGGATAGAAACACTTCAGCATTCGACATGATTGACTCCTACATATTCGTGTCAGTGGAAAATTGTTGATGGAAAAACTTGTAGAGGATACCAATTTCTGCTTCAATTGATATTCATCTTCCGCCCAGTGGGCCCGTTTCATTCCTGGTTTAGTAACCTTAAATCTGCGTGTGAAGGCATCTGCAGCCTGGTTGAGGCCGTCCATAAACGTGGTAGATCTGTTGTATTGTGGTTTATTCTCATTTGGATGCAGAAGCGCCACTACTTTCTTAGGCAGTGTCTTCTTTAGGAATTCCTATGACGCTGTTAGCCCCCCAATCGATATCCCATGTGGGCCAACGCTCACCTGTAATCCCTCGTCATTGCACCACATGTTGCGCAACTGGACGTGGCCAAGAAGGCAAAGAATATGAGATTTGTGCACATCCAATCTGGTTTTTCTCTCGGCTCCAGTTAAGGGCTTCCTTCTTTGGATCATTTTTTTGTGCTTCTCGGGCTCCTGCTCTAGTGTGATCTGGAGCACCTCGTCGTCGCCTTGAGGCACAAAATTTCCATTCCACAAAGACTGAGACGGTTGCTGTAATTTAACGTCTTCCCAATCAACGTCTGATTCTTCTGATGTCGATGAATCGTAAGCAGTTTGCACTGGTTGGGTGCTATGTTGGTTTGTTTCTGAGCCCTGGTGTGTTTGTTCCGAGGCCCCTAATCCCACAGGGATAGCTTTCCTATCTCCGGCCTTGTGCCTTTTGATTGGTCTGTCCGAATCAAATTGACCAGGATCTCTATCTTCGGCCTCCTCCAACAGTTCTTGATAGATATCTGGAGCATGATCGTCTGCCTGTCTCTGACGCTTCGGTTGACGGGCAGGCGTCACCCGGCTCCTTGAGGAACGAGCTGGTATTTGGCGTACCATTGCAAACAGAATTGTTAGAAGGTAAAATCTGATGCTTTACGCGTCGCGCGTCGCGCGTCAGCACTCAAATTGGTGTTTCTGTACCCCGTCCTCCTCAGAAAGTCAATGGGACAAAGGATCAAGGAATAGAAAATGCAAAATGACCGCTAATGCTTCGAAATGATATTTGCAGAATAGAAATATGTTGTTGTTGGTGCTTGTTGTTGGTGCACTGCATTTGGGGTCTCCAGATCACAAGGTGCGTCATGTCGGTATTTAGTTTATCCGTGCCGATATCAATATAACCTAATTGGGAAGTATGCTGTTTGCGTCCTGCCATAACTAGTTTAAATAGTCTATTTGCTGATATCCTTATTGTTCCAGATACTGGGCTAAGCATGCATAATCTATGGAAGTCTCACTTAGATTCTGTAGTGAATGACGAAATGAACGCTATATATATCCACTTGAGGATCTTCCCCGTTGTTCATTTTGACCGCAACTCCGATAGACATGGGGAAGATATTTCTGTAGTTGGACAGTGAAGCCTAATAGACCAAACTAGCATAGAAGATATAATAGAATGACAACGAGACTATGCTAGTTTTCTGATGATATGCTGTCTTCCAAAAAGAGCCAAGCAGGTGAAATGGACATATTGATTGTATATACTCCGTAGATGATCTTCATGATATATATTGCAACCCACTATATTACGTACGTCGTATCCCAGCCGCTCTTTGTTTCTCCCTCGCGGATTCGCACCGTTCCTGTAAGATGGACACGTTCCAGCCAATAGAACCACAGCAGTGGAGATAACCCGTTTATCCTAGAGTTAAGAAAGACCCTTCTGGAGCACGACCTACAACATAGAGAAATCTTCTGAATGAGACCAGGCCGTATAGGGAAAGTCAACAAGACAATACCAGGTTCAACATTCGGATACTAACCTCTCATTGGTAGGCGGCTTGGGTGTTGATGGATGATTTTCCTCTCTAGACCAACTGTACGGAGTAGACGTGCATGATCTACATCTCGCCTGCGTCTGACAGTTGTAGTGCTCATACCTTTCAGTTCTGAGCCGTGCCGATTGGGTGTTTGACTTCCACCCAAGCCAGTCATATTCATATCAGCAAATGACTTGTAGTTCCAATTCCAAATATGTTTAACTTTCTCTAAGCGATGGAGGGGTCTAGAAAATTCGTTCCACTTTAATATGTAAAAAGATGACAACGTGTTGGGATTTTCTTCGCCGACGGTGTGAACTGAACTATGTGGATCTCTCTAGCCGATCATGCCTGTGAATAATTCACCCCGCACCTATGTACATGCATAGCAGGTTGTTGGTTGATGGTTGGTTTATTGGGTGTCGGTTATCGAGTTCAAGGATATAACAAGGAAATGATTATTTTTCTTGCTTTTCTTTTGGCTAGTTTCGTATCTGCATTGTCGTGCGTCTTTAGTGCAACTCCAGCTGCTGAAAAGGTCGCCCGTGAAGTGATAATTCTTACGGAAAGACAGGTTACCCGCAACCAATAAAATCTAGTGATGTTATTTGTGGGGAATAAATATCTGTGAAAATACCCAAGCGGTCTATACTTTCGCCAGCAGGCAGCTGTTCTACCTATATGCATGACACGTAGTATTAGGTACATTTGGTGAAAACCCTAAGGCTATGATTCAAGATACTCGTGATAGAATAGGCTTTAACTACATCAGAAGTATATAGTTAGTATTCTACCGAGGGCGGGAGCAAGGTACAGCTCAGGGTGATTCCCGCTGCATACATTATTCTCAAAACGCCTGTCACTTGCTCTTTCTCTTCTTAGAATCCAATGCAAATTAGCCGACTGAAGTTTCCAACATATGTTGTACAGCTCTACCAGCTAGGTACTGGTACATACTAAAGCAAGTATATTGTTTCTAGTCTTGAACTCGAATCCGATAGGGCATTATCCGATTTTCAGAGCGTTGGCATCTTGTATAACATGTGTTTCAACTCGTATGTATTCGGAGTTGTTCGGTTGTGAACCTGCAATTTCCGATGCCCTATCTCCCCACACCAAGGAAACCATGGTACATACTCCGTACAAGTCCCGCATATAGTGGGTATTCAAATGCCAACGACTAAAGCACGGATCTCAAAAGAGATAAACTGCCAAGGGCTGTCCCCACTACCAAGTGACTCCGCTGTGGAGTGACGACTTAGCAGTTCGGCGAACACTGAACCGTGCATCTACCGTTGTGCGAGAGAGACACAGTTTAACTAAAAAAATACGTTGACATACCTAGGCAACTAGCGGAGAAAAAACGCTTGAAAAGTCCGTTAAAGAATATATATATGTACGGAGTATAGTTACCGACTAGAAATCCTGGGAAATTGGCTCTGGAGCCGGCGCTACCGACGCATTGGAACCCGAACAACTTTCCCAGTCGCCGGGTCCGGGTGAATTTCAATTCCAATAATAAATTCCCGGGGGTTCCCTTCGGATGGAAACCCGGCTCCATGGCAGCGAAATATTATTTTTGGGATAGCTGCAGGGGTGCTGTGCTTGGGATTCTATCTGCAAGGTTGGGCTACTGACCCATTGTTAACGCGTTTTGTTTTTTTCCCTCCTTCTTTTTCAAAATAAAATACAAAGACAACAATTACTTTGAATCAGGGTATCACCATGATTTGACAGATTCGGATCTTTTAGGTATTTAGCAGGGCTGGAGCGGTTTGGATATGCATACTTGAAATTGGGGGATATACCTGGTCACATTTGTTATTTCTGTCTACAAGATATACTATGCGCTATAATCACGCCTTTTTTTGATCGACATGTGAACGAGAGTATAAAAGTTCAGGATGGGGACTTGGGTACTTCATGTCTAGACGATGTACGAGTAGGTCACAGTTTGTACCGCGGGGAACTTCAGACGTCATGAGAGAATAAACGAAAAAAAAATGAAGACCCAGAGTACAGGAAACTTTTATGCTTCCGTGATGCTATGTGCCCCTCATCTCTCATTTTGGAGCCACTTTGGGCAAGTAGGAGAAAGCCCAGGCTTTAGAACGCCCGACGCTAATTCTGACAGGATCATCTCCTCTCTTCCGACCGCTAGAGCTAATACGGTAGGAGCCGGAGTCGTCATGCATAAGGAGAAAAGAATAACCAAGGAAACTCGAGCATCATATAGGACTTGGTGAATCTTCGGAATTATTCCGACACTTTGTTATTCGAGTCAAACCCGAGTAGCACAGGTCTTGGCGTGGGCACCGTGATTTTACGGATTTGAATTCATTTTGAGAGGGAAAATCCCAATTGCTCCACGTCTCTACGGGGCCGAGAGTTCCCCAGTATAGAACCCATTATTATCACAGCCGAACTTCGCTTTTGCTTTTGCTTTTCTTTTTGATTAGAAAACGTGATATATGAAGAAGAAGAAATTTCATACCCTCGGGGAATTACGGCCTTCCATGACTATTCTAGGATGACCCTGCAGGGTTCTGCACAACTTTTTTTGGAAATCATTCTGCTGATCGACCAGATTTAAAGGGCAAATCCCAGCAGAAAGGTTGAAGGCGGCCCGTGGCTGGGCGGGTTGCATATTCCCAGCTAGATGGAACCGACCTCTATTGGTCGATCGAGCTTACCTAGGAGCCATCGGCCGCGAGAATCGCGATAGTATGTGTCCTGGGTAGAATGCCTTGGTGAAGAGACGGACACATAACGTGTATCATCTAGGGTTCCACGTCAAGGAACCGGAAGATCACCGGCGGATCACCGGAAAAAGACTCCTAGGGTTTTATCAATCCAACTCTCCCCACTCGGAACATAGTGAAGGTATTGAAAAAGATAGAATTTTATGATTCTGTACTGAAGAAAATAAACGGGTTAGTAGGTTGTATATATTCGGAAGTCTGAATTGAACAAAAGCAAAAGAGAAAAGCGAAATTGGCAATTTAAAAGAACATTGAAACGAAGGGAAAAAAAAACAATAATTATAGATTAATAATTTCGCTCTCGTTCATCTCGTCCAATCATTTCCCCTAGAAAACTAAACCTTTTTCCCCATCGAAAACAAGGACATTACATGGGTACAATTTCCGCTTTGGATGATTTCACGCATAAAGCGCCTGGGCATCTCCCTCTTTCATATACTTTACCCTCTTTTTACCATTTACCAGCATTGTACACGAACTGCTCCACTCGCCGGGCTTTGCTTTTGCTTTTCGAATATTTCAAATGTCGATCTTATAAGTTATAGTTGTCGGGATTGTCCTCCCGCCCTGCCAGATTATAACTTAACCCAAGCTGTCGGGCTCCTTTTCCTCCCCTCCTTCCCTTTCAATCATGTCTGGATTTGCATCAGTCTGAGTCTTCCCGTATTCATACTGGGACGTGGATTGAAATATCGCGAGATTAATTCTTGATTCCACTTCACCGAGGAATAGCTTACCTGCTGTCCATCCCCCAGAGCGCCCTCAAACCTACCACTATTGATCTCGCTGGATGAGAGCGAGGTGACCATGGGTGCTAGACGTCCGGTGAGTTTAGTTCTCTTATAGAACGTGTCAATGCTCTATCGTTATTGATACTCTGGAATTTTAACTATCGATTTTCTTGCTAACGTGAAATCATGTAGGCACCTCATGATGACTACTGGTACTACTACCTCCGTCTTCTCAAGTCTTATTGCTTTACCAAAAGGCTGGCGTGACTGACCATATCATAACAGGGATACGCAGTCATTGACTGACAGTGTAATCGATTATCCTGTCGAGAATGGAAGAACCTATCACAGGTACCACGAGGGAGGTATGTTTAGTCCCGGCTCTGTCAGGTCTCGCACAACATGGCTAATTCAATGTTTAGCTTATATATATCCCAATGATGAGCAGGAGATTGATCGCCTGGATATGCAACATCACATGTTCAAAATGGCGATGGACGGGAAGCTATTCCAAGTTCCCCTCCAAGACCCAAAGAAGATCCTTGATATTGGTACTGGCTCAGGAATATGGCCAATAGAGATGTGTATGATCACCCATCCCAGCCCCAATGTTTTGTCTCACCATCTTAAATTGTCTACTCGCAGCGGCCTTGTTTCCAAACGCCGAAATCGTAGGGACGGATCTGTCCCCAGTGCAGCCAACAGAGGTTCCACCAAACGTCCATTTCCTGATTGATGATGCAACCGAAGAAGAGTGGATATGGAACCAAGATTATTTTGATTTCATCCATACCGGCCACTTGACTGGGGCAATGCCATCATTCAAACATGTACTACGACAGTCATTCAAACACCTCAAACCGGGGGCATACATGGAATGTCACGAGCTCGACCCGAAACCAAAATGCGACGATGAGACCATGCCTCCCGAAAACCAAGACGGGGGATACAGCGCATACGCCATGCATGATTGGGTAGACCTTAATATACGATCGAGCCGTGATTCCGACCCACCAAGACAATTTCGAATCGCCCACCGGATTGCACAGTGGATGAAGGATATAGGATTCGTCGACGTTGAACAACAGACCTTCAAAATCCCGACAAATACCTGGCCGGAGGATGAGAAGCTAAGGAAAATCGGCTTTTGGAGTAAGAACAATTGGCTTGATGCTTTGTCCGGGTGGTCATATAAGCCCTTTCTTGCCCTTGGGTGGTCGAAACCCGAAATTGAAGTCTTCCTCGTTGATGTGAGGAAGAGTATACAGGACCGAAGTGTCCACGCTTATATGGACTTTTATGTGGTGACAGGGCGGAAGCCCCTTCCCAATGAAGGTATACCTGCTTCATGAGTTCATGTTATCTCCGCTTTCTTGTTATGACTGTCCTACGGTTTATCACACCGTTCCTCTCCGAGATACCATTGGTGGGCAAAATTTTGCATGCATTACATTGGCGTTGTTTTCATGATTGCAATTTATTTCTTTTTGTCTTCTATATAAATCCATTTCCATACCTACAGATTTAGTTAAGCGAACATTTGATATACATCTGAGGTGGTCTAATCAATCTGGCTTCGAAAGATCAATGGGCCATAAGATGATATAAAACCCAGAGTAAACAAAACAAGAAAATTTGTAGAACAAGAAAATAACAGCTAAATTAAATGCTACAAACCAAAATATGATACACATGTAGGTGATAATGGAAGCCCAAAGATTGGCCCGTTATCTGGAGCGAGCTGTGATTAGTCATCACGCCAAGAATCGGAAAGCTGCCGTGCGAAAGTTGATCCCGAGTGCTCGCGACAAGCCCAAGACAGCAATCGGCTTGCACATGTCCTAGCCAACCACATGTCTTTCGGCAGACATGTCTACCGGCATGCTCTAAAGCCGCCACCTACTCCAACACTTGAGCATCCCTGGATCAGCGATGACCTACTCGCAGCCACGTTTCGTCGCTTCGCCAACGGTCAACGGCGCCATGGGAGCTGTGTTCCCGGGCCATTGGAAGCACGGAGACGCCTTGCAAAGCGAAGGAACACCGCTCTGGCGAGCATAGGGGGAGGACCGGCTGAAGATATCGCCTGCCTGTTTGGCCGCAATGGGAGGGAGCACATGAAATGGACCGACCATCCGTGGCAGAGAGCGCCATTCGAAACCCAGAGTATGTGGCCAAGACACGCAAAGTCTTTTGAGTATCCGCTAATCTTTATTTGAAGGCCTCGCAGATCATTCTTTGGGTCCTCCTGAACTACCTTTCTCTTTCTCCGACCAGAACCCAGCGCCTGGACCCCATTCTACTCATGGCCCTCCGTCGTACATTGCCAATGCAGATCAAGTTACACGCGAGCAGATGCTGGAGGCATTCTTGGATGGGAAGAATTGGGGCATTGAAGATGCAAGGGATTTCACTCGTCGGTTGAGGATTGACCTCCACCAGGAGCCGCGATACAGCCGGCAGATATTCGAGCGGTTACTTGCTCGTTCAGACCCAGATCTTACAGAAGCAATTGCGTTCTTGGATGATCCGTTCCTGAATACCCGGGGATCGGGAAATTATGCTGCAGCTGTCGAAATCTTTGTGCGAACAAAAACGAAACGCGGCAAACGGACCGCTGTTTTGAATGCGATAAATCGGGCTTTAGAGTTGGGGTTGATTTCAACCGATGAGATCTGTTTGATTATTACTGCTTTACCCAATATTATCGTCGAGCGAAACAAGACTCTGGGATCGTGGGACCATAAAGCTTTGTTGAAGCACTACCGGGCGATGTGGAAAGCCATTGGGTGCTGTAACATCCTCGGATACCACGATCTGGACAGAAACATTGTTGATGCTTGGCTTGAAGTGCTCTTGCGTACTCGCAGCTTTCGTTTTGCCGAGGAACTCATCATCGAAACCCATGATGCAGAGAGCCGCAGCCAGTGGCCTTCTGCTTTGGTTCAAGCTTGGTTGGAATCTATGGAAGTCGATTCGGAGACAAGCTTGCCATTTCCAGACAAGATCTTCAGCCAGCTTGATGTTAACAGCGCGGCGGACTGTGTGATTCGTGTAACCGAGTCATTGGCATCGTCTTCAGCAGACAGGGACTCCAGAAACCAATTGCTTGAAAGATGGCGGGATTGCCTCTCGAATGCCGAAGTCATTTCGACTGTTGCAAAGTCACAGGTCTGGTTCGATTTCCCTCTCCCGTGTGTCCAAACACAGATCAAGCATGCCCCTCTGAGCCATTCAACCCAACGTCAGATAATTTTGCGACTCTGGCTTCTACGAACGCTTGGTCGATCCATTGGGCCCATGTACAGCAAAAGTTCAAGAGCAGCAGATCAACCAATCTGCTCATTGCTAAATCTATACGAAACGGTGATACAAGGTACCAGCGGAATATTCTTTCCGGACTTTATGCGGGAAATTCATGACCTCGATCTCCCATACAATAGCCTTCTGATCCTAGCCCTCAACAAAAAGGGCAAAAATTCCATTACCAAAACCACCCGCAAAACCCTTGAACGTTTGGAGACCTGCCAGCTCTCTCTAGCAGAAGTGTGGAAAAACCCATCCATATATAAGGGAATACAAGGTCTTTTCCACAGCACATTCGACCAAATGTTCCACTGCATCGACCTCACCAGCCCGGCCACAGTTGAAGAGCTCCTTAGTGTTGTTCGATCAGGAGACTCAAAGAGCATATGGCCCATCCTCAGACTCCTCAACAACAACACCCCATTTAAGATTAGCCTCCACAAAGCTTGGCAGCCTATCCCCCACCCCGACGAGAAAGTCCTCGTGCGATATCACCCAGGCCCGCGAAACAGCCGATGCCCCGATCCCCATGCAGCGGTCGACCTAATAAACCAGCTGGCGGTTGCTCTCTCCTGCTGCAAGCACTTGACTCCGTCCCAGTCTTTCCATATGGTTCACTGGCTTTACGGATATCTTCGCAGACACGGCGGGCCCGTGGATCCGGAGTTCGTGCGGGCCATGTATCATGCTGGTGTTGTCCGGTACCGACGTGACGGTCGCCGTATCTCGGCTACTCAGTATGAGTACATTCTTTGGATTGTCGGCAAGTTTGAAAGCTCTGAGGTTGTTGAAGAGCTCACTGCTTTGCCTCAGATTGGTGAATCGAGGCTTGACTGGCGGTAGATGTGTTGTGTGAATTGATGTCTACACAAGGGAATTTTATAAAATAGAGCGATACGATACCCCTGCTTCAATATAATACATACCTTGCCTAGAGGGAGGGTGCTGAGATGAGCATACAATTTACATGAAAGCCACATCAAGTTTCTGAAAACTCCGATTTCCTGTCCGGCCATAACTGCTTGAAACCTTGTAGTAAACTCCACAACAGTAAGCCCGCGATCTTTGCCGAAGTACAGTCATACAGAAAACATAGTGAGATAAGAAACCCATGCGTGCATTAAATCAATCCAAGAAGACCACTAGTCAGTGCATCTCCAAGAAAATCTAAGTATCAACTTCCATGCTGTCCCCAGTAGCAAGGTTATCATCACCCGACAGCGTTTCGATCGTGACATATTTTTTCATATCTTCCTTGCTGATAATCCTCTGGTCCAAATAAGCAGTGGTACCGCGGGGGAAGCGGTAGTTGCGCTCCTTCTGGGGGCGCTCGTTGGGCTTCATGTAGTTGCGGAGCAGCTGGGTGGGCTGGTCCTTCTCGATCACACACACGTCGACATTGCTACCAGAGCCCAGATCGTTGAAGATACCAGCCTTGATTGCCTCGGCGCAGATGTCGATGGCGCCCTGTCGGTCCAGGTCTGGTTGCCAGGTCGACTCAAACACCGACATCGCAGCCAGCGATCCGGATCCCATCGTCACATACGGCAGCTTGTCTGTCGATCCATGTGCGTGCACAGTGTACAGTCCCGTGCCGGTTGGGTCCACGCCTGCAACAACCAGGTACGCTCCGATGTGGCCCTGGTACCGGAAGAGGTGCTGCTTAAGCATCGTCATACAGGTGATCACACGGGGGTCGCGGCCCGTAGATAGCGAGTGCAGTTCGACGTTGGAGCTGATGAGCGCAGTGGTGAATTCGGTATCGGCAGCGGTACCGGCTCCAGCACACCAGATCTTCGGCGCGATGTAGTGAAGCTTCTCGCAGTTCTAGAGACAAAGGATGTTAGACCCTCTAGAAGGAAAAATGCATATAATCTCATCGGTGTATTTTACCTTGTCTGCTACTATAGGACCGCTGGTAGCTCGGGTATCTGCTGCAATCTATTATGGCGATTCGAGTCAGCTCCTGGGTCACAGCTCTTTTGAATTTCCTTGCATCTCTTGGGACCGTACCACAACACCCTTATCATAGATACAGCCCACAATTGTTGTACCGGTACTCGTGGCCTTGGGAAGGGGAACACCCCTGGCGTGAAGCGCCGCATTGCGGTTGTAGTTTGTGAAGTCGAAGCCCGGCATCGTGAGAACGCTGGTGTTCGCGACCAGCTGAGCTGATTATCAGGATAGAGAATGGGTATAGGAAGAAAAGAGAGCGAAATTCGAATATGAGGGGAGATCGAGAAGGATGGATGGACGAATGAGGTAGCAAGCTAGAGATGGTGAAGAGGAAGTGAGCTGTCTGGAGTGACGAAGCTCCCGCAGCCTAAATTGGAGCCTAAATTATCAGGCATAAACAAGGTGTTTTTGCCGGACCATCATTTTCGAATTCAATGCTTCTTTATGTAGTCTCTTGTGACTTCGCTCTCTCCAACATTTCGCGCGTCGGCGATACCCATTGCATCCATTTTTACTCTCTGTCTGTCTTGTCAACTCCCGGAAGCCACACAAGCTCAAGATTTTCGCGCATACTCTCAGCCTCTTCTCCCGGAGTCCTAAGTCCCACCGTCGACGCTCACTTTCCACACCTCCCAAATCACCCTCACCTAATGCTTTCAGACATAACTCTCCTCTAAGCGAAAGCACACGTTCTCCTTCTGCGACATTCAATTCCGAAAATCTCAGAATGGCTTTCAACTTCGGTGCGTCCAACCCTGCTGGGGGAAGCGCCTCTGCGGAGCTTGGTTCAGAGCTTCCCGATGTTTTTACCGATGTATGTCCAGCCCGCCGCAGTTCTAACTCACCGCCATCCTGTCTAACGTAGCTATAGGAAGTCGGTTTCAAAGGAGTCTCCGGGGACGCAAATATCCGCTTCCTTCCAACGGCATGGCCCGACAACGCGCTTCCTGCTCCTACTTCCTCACTTCTGGCTGTCGCACACACCAAAGGCCTCGTTGTTGGCGCTGGCCCAGATGCGCTGGTAATAAGTACCACTGATGTTGTCAGAAAGTCCATCGAGGCGCCAGCTGGAGAAGATATGGAGAAGACGAAGCCATTCCAGCCTATCGCCACAATTCCCCTTCCTTCTCGTCCCACTCATGTGGCATTCACACCGGGCGACGATGGCTTGATTCTCGCCACGGAGAATGGCTCTACAATCTCGGTTTTCGACACAAACACCCTCACACAAGGAAATGCGCAGCCAGCGATTTCAATTCCTACGAATGGCGTGTCGCTACGAGCACTGGCACCAAACCCCGAGCCTTCCTCGACACTTGTCGCGCTGGTCACCGTTAATGGCGAGCTTCTTATTGCCGATCTCAAGGCTGGGAGCCTAGTTCCTGGACCCAATGGCCCGGTTCTCAAGGATGGTGTCAGCTGTGCTTCATGGAGCAACAAAGGAAAACAGCTTGTTGCTGGATTGGCCGATGGCACTGGATACCAGATGACCCCAGATGGAACGAAGAAGGCTGAAATTCCTCGGCCATCTGACCTGGAGGGAGACTGCCACAGTAAGTTTCGAATGATTGCCAGAACCAAATATGTGTTTTTGCTTACGATTATACAGTTTCATCAATCGCATGGCTTGAGAACGATGTTTTCTTTGTGACATACACACCAAATGTTTCAGAGGATGATATGGGAATGAACCCAGCTTCTTCATACTACATCATAACCCGCCGCAAGCAGGCACCGTTCCTCATCCAGAAATTGCCAGAAGTCTGCTCGACTATGGGCTTTATGCTGAAACGTGGTCCTGCATTCCAATTTATCACCAGAATTAGAGAGTACAAGCCTCACTTGAGAGATGTCTTGATTGTCGCGTCAACTGCGTCAACTGATCTCGGGCTCATTACGCGATCTGATCAGCCTCTGGCCAACGATGAGCGAACCAAACTTCATGTTGGTCAGTTCATGACCACAGAAGTAAGCGACGACACCAAACGTGCTAGTGTGCCGTTGAAGGACTCTGGAGATGAGACATCCGTCATCGGCCTGGCACAAAACTTGTCAGCCACGGAAAATGTCATTGCACCGCTTCCAGGTTCTGATATCTTGGAGAGCTCGACGCCCCTTCCTGGGGTTCTTCTTCTAAATAATGATGGTATCCTTTCATCTTGGTGGTTCGTTTACGCTGATTCCATTCGCCAAAATATCCCATATTCGGGGTTGATCTCGTCTGGTCAGGCAACCCAAGCTCCCTCTCAGCCACAGGCTATAGCTCCAACCCCGGCACAGCAACCTGCATTTGGCCAGTCATCGTTCGGAGGTTCATCGGCATTTGGCCAACCGGCTTTCGGAAAGCCGGCCGGAGCTTCCGTCTTTGGTAGCCCATCTACCTTGGGAGCTTCAACCATGGGTGCAACTGCTTTTGGAAAACAAAGTGCTCCAGCATTTGGTAGTCCGTCCCGGCTTGGTGGAAGCCCTAGTCCGGCCTTTGGAAAGCCATCGTCCCCGGCCCTTGCTCCCGCTTTTGGGACCCCCTCTCAGCCGGGCGCATCATTCGGCACTCCTAGTACCCCTGGACAGCCACAGTTCGGGAAATCTGGATTCGGGGCTATAGGATCTGGACAGTCTACCTCCCCGGCAAACCCATTCGGTGCCAAAGGTGTAGCATCTGGCGGTGCTGGCTTCAGCGCCTTCTCCGGTGGAGGCGGCTTCAGTGGCTTTGCAACAGCAAAGCCGGGGGAGTCACCATTCGCAGCGAAGCAGCCAGGTGGATCACCGTTCGCGGCCACACAGTCAAAAGGGTCGCCCTTCGCAAACGCCTCTTCTGCCTCGCCCTTTGGAACCAAGTCTCAAACCCAGACCTCATTCCCGCCTCAAGCGTCCAATGAAGTCAAGAATCCGTTTGGCGCCGCACAAGGTGGCTTTGAGCTCAAATCTGCCTTCAAGGGCGATGGTTCGGCTGCCAATGATGGGCCAAATGCAGACAAATCTTCTTCCGGTGCGTTCTCATTTGGTGGCTCCTTTGATGAGATGGTGTCAACGCCCCGCAAGGGAAGCTCATCGCCGAGTGAATCAATGGATGACACTGAAGATATCGAGCCTGTGAATAAGGAGACATTTTCAATTTTCGGCGGGGCAAGCAAACCTGCTTCACAGACTCCTACATCAACGTTCAGTTCAAAGACAACGCCTTCGGCCGAGAACACTAAGTCGGCATTCTCGATGTTTGGCAGTAGTGCTGACCAAAACCGCGTGACCAGCCCATTGTCAGCACTGTCTGATAAGACGGAGACACCCAAGAAGAATTGGCCTAACACATCACGTCTCGATGTAGAGGCACCATTGCCACCAGATCCTACCAGCCGGGCTAGTTATGCCGCTGGAGATACTTCTGCTTCTTCCAATGTGTCGAAGTGCTCCGCCGAGGATGTTCCGCTTCCTCCCGATTTCACTAAGGCGAAGAAGGCTTCACCAAAACCTGAAGAGGACGCCCCTCTACCACCCGATTTCCTCAATCAGAAGAAACCTGCCCCCAAGATCGACGACGCCCCCCTTTCTCCAGACTTCCTAACAAAGTCTAAAAAGGTTGAGGCTGCGGCTGTTCCGGAGGACGCACCCCTGCCTCCTGACTTCACCGCAAAGCCAAAGACCAAACCTTCCGAAGGGGCAGTTCCAATCCCTGATGAATCCGATGAATCGGGTATCTCCGATGCAGATTCTGAGGCCGCAGCCGGGTCAGACTTCAGTGATAGTGGCGAAGAAATTACACATGACGAAGCATTAATCGCCAAATCCAAGCAGTCAGCTCAGAGCTCGTTTGATGCAGCTTCCGAGCAAAGCTCCACCGGAGGATTCTTCGACAGTCCTGCTCGCAATGTGAACGACAAAGGCCGCCTTCCCCAGCAGCTATTTGGGGAGATCCCTAAGCAGGCACTGCTCCCTCCCCCGGTCCCTATCGCCAAAGGTAATCATGAGCCCTATCGGTCACCGAGTCCGGTTCGGGTCGGAGGGAAGAAGAATGTGCTATTCTCCGAGAAATCACACAGCCGTAAGGGGTCCACAGGCGCATTGCACTCGCGTAAGGCATCTCTTACCCATATCGCCCAGCGTAGCGGCCACTTGAGAAAAGCCAGCGATGTTGCTCGTGAGGAGCGGGAGGAGCAAGAGAAACAAGCACGCGCACACGCAGCAGCTCAAATCCAGGAAGATGATGTTTTATCTTTGTCAGACGATGACGAGGACGACAGACTTCGTGATGAACTGGCTCAGCCCGTTGAGCCTGTTGATACCCTGGACCCATTCTTGCCCCACCAAAACTACATGGGCGACACTCCAAAGCCAGGTATTGCCGGACAGGTAGAACGGCTCTATCGTGACATCAACTCTATGGTAGATACCTTGGGTATAAATGCTAGGTCAATGGCGGGATTCCTTCTGTACCAACAGCCCAAGAAACTCTCTGATATTGATGAGTGGGTGATCGTCATGAACGGCGACCAGCCCGCTGACATTCTCGACACCAAGATGGCCTTCAAGGACATTGAGAGATTTGAAGAGTTGATTGCTTCAATTTCGCGATCATTGGACAACCAGCGGGTGCAGGGGGTGGATGAAAAGCTCGATGCATGCCGTGACCTGCTCACAAAGCAGATTGTCACCTTGCGAGGCCAGTTCGCAAGCATTCGCAAGACTCTTGACGCACACACTGACATCGGCGCTATTCTCGAAGCACCACTTTCCGCTGAGCAAGGTGCGCTCCAACATGATCTGCGCACCACATTCACGAATATCCAGGTCGAGATTACCGCTCTCGAACAGGCAGTCTCTCTCCTGCGTGCCAAAATCGCCGATATTCCGCAAGCGAATGGCGGAGGCAGAAACCGACCAACCGTCGAGGCTGTCACCAAGACTATTGCTACAATGATGAGCATGGCCGAGGGAAAGAGCACAGACATCGATGTTCTCGAGGCACAGATGCGCAAGCTCGGCGTGGACATTGTCTCCACAGGGCCTCCAAGCCGTGAAGGCTCCCCATTCTCTACTCCCCGCAAGAACGCCGCTGGCCGTATACCCATGACTCCTGGGTCGCGAGGCTCGATTGACGGTAGCGCCTATCACACCCCCGATTCCGTTTCACGCGGTCTCAACTTCCGGGCCAGCATCAATGGCTCTGTGAGACAGAGCCGTCTCCGCAGCGTGGAGGGTGCTGGTGAGCCTGCCCTCCCGCAAGAAGATGCCATCCAATATAAGGCCAACAGGTCGCGTCGCCAGCGCTTGAATGCCAACTTGAAGAAGGCCTTCGAGGACAAGCAGGCAAAGGTGCGCAGCGTCGACTGGTAGATTCGTTTCTTTTTTTCCTGCTTCGCTTTTATTTGTGTTTTCCCTAAAGATTCGGATCCTATATTTGGGGGAATTTGCTTTCAGCGTGAATTGGTATTTGGTAGACGGTCTTAATTGGACCAGGGAGTCATGGCATGCAGATACGTATGTAGCGGATCTTTTTTCAGCGCCACAGTGAGTGGCTAAATTAACTATCAAATTCAAACCCTATTATCTACATACAGTTATTTGCGTCAGCTTAGCTCCTGCCAAGGGCTAGTTGTTAAGTGCAGGATTCGCATGTGGAACCTGCTTTCGTCTTTCCGACATATAAGTCAGACTTGACCGGCTCTGTATCTTGAGATGCATCCCTCACGCTTGGCAAGAACGAAATTCGGTCAATGACATAGTTAGGAAAGCAGTAAGAAAAGCGATCAAGGAACGAAAGTGGTTTCAAGGGGTTTCAATCAAGGCCATTGTACTAATGACCAAACAAACGTCCTTGTTCTAGCCTACGGCGCAGAACTCATATAAAACCCCGAAGCCCTCGAGTCTGTCTCTTCATATTCACCACCAGCATTCCTCCAAATAGCTTTGCAACAAATCCTATTTCCCTTAAACATATCATATCTACCACCAGCAAAATGGCAGGACGCGCGACTGATAGTTGTCCTTTCATGATGGGGCTTCGAGCGTCTGGTGGACCCTAAAGATGATATAGCTCTTTGGGTTACTATAGAAATTCCGAAAGCAATGAAGCTTACCAATAGTGACGAACAGCTGATGGAGTTCGCAGTTCAACAGATTCAAAGCTATGATGCCAATATTTCCGCTTACGCACAGCATCACTATAGATACTTATGTCTATCGCTACCAGTAGGTGGATTTCATAGAGATGAGAACCACAATGATGCAGTCACGGCCCAGGCTAAGACTTTAGCACTCTGGTGGCTCGGAGAAATCATCGCACATAGGGTTCATCTTGACCGGAGTGTGATTTTCTTTTAGTTGACGAGGAAAACAATATGTGTTCTGCCGGGATCGAGAGTATGGAACTAGGGGGAGATGCATGAAGTTTGCAGTCAATGTGATCTTCTGGGGATATCTGGCAGATTAATAGAGCAGTTAAAGAAAAAATGAACAAGATGTCCAGGGAAAAATATCATGTTCCACAAGTAGCGTAAGTTCTGGCCCATGAGATTCATATGGATCGAATGCCACAGCTGCGATTCAAGTAGCTCGACGAAGTTAAGCCGCCACCATAAGTCATGAACTGCCATTTGATAGAAAGGCAACTGAATCTCAAATCTAAGATAACTATACCAGATAAATTAGTCAAGTACCGCAACATGGAAGAATCTGGAGTGTCAAAGAAGCAGAGATCAGATATCGGATATCATAAAAGACATCCTCTGCATCTTCTTACCCTAAATCATGTTGCGACAATGAATAGCAGTCCACATTTAATTCGGATTACCCCCCCACTTCAGGTGGGCAACCAAGCAGTTCCAAGGCGATGGTTCGATTTCACCGAGGAGCCAGATTCATTCGGAAGAGATGCTTAGGCAAGGTGACAGCGATGTGAAAATGGTTGGATTCGAGAGTTCACCAGTGCCCGCAACCAATGATAATACACATGTATGATATGAGCCACGGTTTCCTTTTGGGATAAGACAAGAAGCCGCACGATCAAGAATGCGAGGGCTGTGAAATGTACCAGCATGAGGCAAACCACATGTTGCCAGAAGCATATCCATTTCATAAGGGGAAGTGTGAAGCTAAGGTTTACGACGTAGATTGAGAAAGCAGCGAATAAGAACAGTCGATTGCTTTTATCTTGGAATGGAATGGATAACCGGGAAATTAGTGTGTATGATTGCATGGTGTCGAGGGGAGCAGAGTAGAGCAGAGTAGGGAAGAGAAGAGAAAGGAAGAGAGAAGAGGAGACCATAGAGAAGCACCTACATATGTACTTCCAAGGTAGATACCAACTGCACAAGATAGGAAGGAAGGAAAAGGCACCAGGGTAGTTTCCTAATTGGGATTCGATGCAAGTGACATCATGTGCTCGTGACATCAGCCATCTGTATTTTGATACTCTAGGCCTGTCTCTCCCATCTACACGATTCGTCGGGAAAAACACCATCCCAACATGTCTCCAATCGTTAGCCAGGTCGTCTTCTTCCGCGTCAAACCTTCCGTCAAGCCTGAAGACCCGTCCAGCATAGAAGGCAAGGGTCTGATGAGGATCTTCCAGGCGACCAAACACCAAAACGGTCATGCGCGCTCATCCTGGGGATACACATTCGAAGACAAAGACACCATCGTCTGGGTTGTAGGTGAGTTTAGCATCCCTGAAACAATCCTCAAACTACAATATACATACCCACGCCCCTATAAACCTACAACCTCCGGCCTACGGCTTAACCAAACCAACAGACTGGACCGACCCTCGCAGCACAATAGACATTCAACTCATCAACGAGTTCCTGGCACCCGACAATCCCCAGCCACCGTCATCACTGCGCGTCACCTTCAGCCCACCACTCTCTGCCACAGAAACACTAACCAAAAACCCCGTGACTGAGCTGTGCACGCTGTCATTTCCGAGTGATCTCGAAGTGTCAGGAATAAAGCAGATCGACGCGGACTTGATCAGCTTCCGCATCGCGATGGTCGAGCAGCTACCACAGTCAATGGGGCCACGCTCATGGTCGATGGGGCATGTCGACCGGCCGAGTAAGCTGCCGCACGAGAATAGTCCGAGTGGGCAAGCTTTCGCGCACCTCCTGGCTGTTGGCTGGAACAGTATGGAGGCGCATCGCAAGGCCGATGAAACAGAGAACTATGCCCGCAGTATGGCGCCTCTGAGGAAGAAGATGTTGCCGCCTATTCCTGGGTTGGAGACGAAACATGTTAGTTTCCAAAAGATTTCGGGTTAGGCGGGGGAAGGGGAGAGAAATAAGAGCGGTAAAGGGGAAGCGAGAGAGGAACGAAGGAGAGCTTGGTGCCGTGGATTAATGTTGGGGCATGGATGATTTGAGCTGTGTTGCGTGGATCATAGAATATGTCGGTGGTGATTAGAGCAGGTAGTGGAAAGGGAAAGGGCTACTTGATTCAGGGATAATTGTGTGGGAATTGTTAATTAGAATGGCAGGAAATGAAACACGCCTTGGAATAAGATACAACGAGAAAGTAAAGAAAGAACCAAGGAATAACGCCCTGAGAGAAAGCGAAGGCAAACAAAAGGAGACTTCATTAACCACCGTAGAATTTTGGGCAGAACCTCGCAATAAAACTCTCAGCAAGCGTTGTATGTTACGCTGCTAGACTTAGATCCGGTGCTTTTCACTCTCTGGTCAATCCGTTAGAACCTAGCCATGCACAGCTTCACCTAGGGAAGGGGGAGACGAACCAAGTCGGGAATAGAGCATGTACAGGGCCATTTGGTTGCACTCCGCGGTACCGGTGATAGTGACCAGGCGCTCATTGCTGCTCTCTTGGGGCTCGTTGATCTTGATCACACTACCACTGAGGTGACGTATCTCGTTAATTTTAGCACCACCCTTTCCAATAATGGCACCAACCATGTCGTTGGGGATGTAAATCTGCTGAGTCAATGGCTGACCGGGAATGGCAGCGCCGACAGGGGCAGGGGCTGTTGGAGGTCCACGGCCAGGGGTCGGCTGCTGAGGGCCACCAACAAAGGGAGCGGGCTGGTGGGGGCCTACGCCGCCGTAAGGGGCCTGGGGAGCGGCGGGGAAGTGCATTGGGGTCTGAGCAACAGGAGCAGGGGCTGGCTGACCGTGCAGGTAGGGAACACCATATGCACCACCACCGGCACGGTTAGGGTGAGGGTGGTGACGCTTGAACGTGTCGGGATGGCCGTATTGGCCGCCGGCGGGCTGGGGAACGTACGGCACAACCTGCATACCACCAGGAACAGCACCGGCAGGACCGCCGCTGCGAGTGGCATATGCCGAAGCCGCGGGACCGCCGTAACGTTCAGACAGCTGCTCGACCAAGGTGACAGCGACATAGTAGGTAGCAATGTGGACGGCATCCGCAACACCGAGGATGACAAGGGACCGTTCGGTGGACAGAGGGAGGCAAGCATCCGAGGCGTTCAGGCGAGCACCAGAAGCCTCCTGGATCTCACGAATGCGGCTGCCACCCTTGCCGATGATGGAGCCAATTAGAATGTGAGGAATTAGCAAACGCAGAGGGTACGTCTTGGATTGTGCAGTAGAAGCGGCCTCTAGAGGTTCATTGTTAAGGGTACGGATGATTAAACCAAACGCCTAATATTTGTCATTAGCAATCGAACAGTCGTAACAAACCTATTGAATGGAAGAAAAAACCTACCTTGGCAGCAGCATCCTGGGGACCGCTGACTGTCAGGATACGCTCCACTGCACCCCGAGAATAATCACTGACAGTGCACTTGGCACCGGACAGACGACGAATCTGGGACACGTTCTCACCTCCCTTTCCAATTACGGTGGCTGCCTCCGGGCTGGAGATCACCGCACGAATATGAACCCAGCTCGACTCGTCCTGGGGTGGTTGATCAGAACCCGCGCGATCGGCCTGGGAAGCTGTTGATTGGATGGGTTGGGTGTCGACAGGGAGACCCTTGCCAGTGGGCGCATCGGGGACCACAGTATCTCCCTGAGTATCCTTGGCACCTTCGACGACAGTAGGAACCTGGCTACTGGATACATCTGTTTCCGCCTCGGCATCGCTCTTGACTACTTTGTCTAGCGCCGGGCGCTTGGCCTCAGGCTGGTCATTGGGACCGGACGGCGACGAAGGGTCCTCGAGAGGACGCTTGGTCGACTGAAGGTTGGATGGAGAAGCCGACATCTTGGATAGTCTGTGCTGCTGTTTGTTTTTCACTTACAAGTGAAATCGGAAGGTGTCAAGAATGAAATCTGTTTTCTTCTTTTATGATCGTTTTATGTACACCAGAATTTCCCACGGAAGGTGCTGGTGCTGGCGATCGGAAGGGGAAATTGGTG